ACCTCCTCTCCTCTGCTCCTAGACACACAGCTGGTAGCTGGCTCCCTCCATTTCTTGAGCGTTCTGACTGTCTTTGTCCCCACAGCCTCTGCCTCCCCAGATGGTGCCCTCCAAAATCCACATGTGTCAATGTCACTGCCTGTAGCTGTTCTCCAGGATTCAGTTCTTTGTTTGGGGACATCTTTGCCAGCTTGTTGGAGACTTGTGATGGTACAGGGGCTTGGGGTGGTGGAGGGGCATGGAGATGGTGGAGGGAGGTGATGGGGAGAAGATGTCTTCTCTATGGCTCAGTTTGCTTGTCTGTAGATTGGGGATAATCACTGTACCTACCCTACATTGTTGGAATGAGATTTAAAATTTTTGTGTGTAGGGGTGCCTGGGTGGCTCAGGGGGTTAAGGCCTCTGCCTTTAGCTCAGGTCATGATCTCAGGGTCCTGAGATTGAGCCCCACATCAGGCCCTCTGCTCGTCAGGGAGCCTGCTTCCTCCTCTCTCTCTCTGCCTACTTGTGATCTTTATCTGTCAGATAAATAAATAAAATCTTAAAAAAAATTTTTTGTGTGTAAAGAATAAATAAAGACTAGTATAGAGCAGATCATCAAAAACAAGCTATTATCACGGTCACTTCCATTATTACTATGATTAGTCTCATAGCATAAGGAAAGGGGAGAGTAGTGGAAGCAACAGGAGGGAAGAAACACCCAGGCCCTTGAATCTCAGCCCCTCCTCTTAGCGTGAGCTCACCCAGAATATTTATTCTTAATACATTTGAAAAGATAAGAAAAAAATACCCTAAAATTTCCCAGTAGTCTCTGTAGTGGACTTATGACTGATTTTCTTTGTTTTCTTTTTTTAAAAAATTTTTAATATTTTATTTTTTTGGTTTTCTTTTTTTCCCCATTTTTTATTTGTCTTCTAAGTATCCATGTGTCATTTGATATTTAGGGGAGGGGGAAAATAAATCTTATTAAGAAAAAAAAGGCAGTGTCGTGACTCTCATCCTGCCCCTCCATGCTTGAGAGGTGTCCCAAATGGATCCCCATGCATTTGTGTGTGTGTCTTATGGAGACTTGTGGCTGGGTGAGCATGGTGAGGAGACATGGTTGGTATGACTGGATCTCAGTTCCTTTCTGGGACCACACATGTCAGGCTGAGAATTTCTCATCATCATGTCTTCCCCTCCCGCACACCTCATTCCCATCTGTCCCCCACTCCACTCCACCCCACCTAATGGCCTTGAAGACAAGTGTACAGCCACTGCCACCATCTGAGAAAAGAGGAGGGCAGTCCTACTGTCCATATAGGAGTGAACATGAATGCGTCCAGTGTGCATCTTCTCACATCTTGTCATGTTCTGGTGCTCACACCCACATCCTGAGCCTATGGCCTTAGAAGTGATGTCCATGAGTTTGAGGGGTGGACCAGTTGCCTGCCCTGAACCAGAATGAAGCCAACAGTCCTTTCAGGCTCTAAAAGTCTTTGGTTCCCTGTTGAGAATGTACAGGAGAAAGCATTCTTTCCCTGCCTTTTGATACATTCTTGTCTTACTTGTTCTTATTAAACTGTTATTTTCAACCAGTGATGCGTAGCCCTTGCTCTGTAGGCCCCTGAGCTGTTCAAAGGGAACCTGACTCATGGGACTCTTTCCTTTCTTGTTTAGAGAACACGGAGAGAAACACCCCCACTCACTCAGCTGTGAGAACCTGCATTTTGTGTTCTCATTTCATATCTGTGATGACTTAGATAAGAGAAACTTCCTCCAGAGTTGGAGGCAATAAGACTCTTCCAGAGACATCCTGGGCATCTTTTTTTTTTTCTTTTCTAAGATTTTATTTATTTATTTGAGAGAGAGAGAGAGAGAGAGAGAGAGAGATATCAAGCACATGGGGGAGGGGCAGAGGAGGAGGTAGAAACAGACGTCCCATTTTGAGCAGGAAACCCAATGCGTAGCTTGACTCCAGGACCCTGGGATCATGACCCGAGCCAAAGGCAGACTCTTTTTTTTCTTCTTTTATTTATTTATTTATTTATTTATTTATTTATTTATTTTTAATAATTTTTTTAAATTTATTTTCAGCATAACAGTATTCATTGTTTTTTGTAC